TCTTGTTAGAGGTTAGAGCCTAGCAAAGTGTTCAAAGCCTTTTTGCAGGAGCTGTCTTTTCCTGGTTTGGAGTTGGGTACTTAAGGTTTTACAGATCAGAAGCTTCTGTTCAGTGCTGCAGCCTTAAAATACCAACCTGTCTAGTAGTATCAAGCATTTTTCTAACCTTTTTGTGTCACATTCTCAGATGAGCTTGCTTTGGGTCAGTAGAGTGCTCGTTTTTAAATGTTCAATGGTACTTGGATCAGCAGTGTAAGCGTGGCATACAGAATGGAAAAGTTTTGATACTGAACTGGCTTTCATGTTGCTGTTATTGTTGATGATTTTACCTTAAACTTTACTGTCTATAAATAATGCAAATTATTTAACATTAATTCAACATGTAACATGTATTGCATCGTTTGCAAGTATAACACTTTATAGTAAACTAACTTTTTAGCTTCGCATGCCGAAAAGGTTCATGAATTACTCAAATTTTAAATTATCTTCCTTGGTAAATAGAATGTGACCTGCATCACAGTCCTTTGATAAGTGCACAAATCCTTGTGTTTTGAAATTCTGGAGTAAGTTAATTTTATAGTTGTTCTAGCTCATGCTAGAGCTAGATTTGTTTTCAATGCAAGTTTCTTTCACTGCCTTGTTTTCTTTTTTCTCGTCATGCTGGTTTTTTTTTTCTCTCTTTCTTTTTTTTTAAATTTAATTTTATTTTCAGGTACCATCTTAGATTTGGCACCTGGTTTAACCTACAGATACTGGTCAAACATGGTAACCAGACCATGACAAAACTATTTTAAGTTTCCATCTGATTAACTGGTTAACTGTTTTCATTGCTATTCACTGCTTTGTGTTTTGGACCGTGTGCACTCTGTTCCTGGAAGATTCTTGGGTGAGGAACAGATGGAGGAAATTTCCTTTCAGAGCTATCCTAATGCATCAACTTAACACTGACATTTTCTTTTAACATTCTTCCTTTTCTGTTACTACATGATTGATTCTGTTACTACACAGATTGATTGTCTTCCCTTTATTTCTTATCAGCATAATTAAAACTGGTTTAAGTCTTGTTGGAAATTCTGTTTGTTAGGTGCCTCACAGTTTTGGGAGAGGGAGTAGGGAAGGGGTGTGGCAGTTTACCTGGTTTAAATTTCAGAAGAGTATATAGCCATTTGAGTTGTTTGGCACACCACCTGCCGCTGTATTAACAGAGGAAATGGCCACAACTTTAGAATACTTAGGTATGGCGGGACAAAACAACCTTCCGTGTTGGTACTGATCCTGGACCAAATGAAAAATCCCAACTGTAAAAGCTGACTAAAGTGGAACTAGTATAAAAAGTGGGTAGAATGTGGTTAGCATGTATTTTAAGGATATATTTTCCGTTAAATGTCACTTCTGTTTGGTAGGAACTTTGATTTTTTTCTGTGAGAATACATGAAACTGCTTGTTGTGCATTTTATATAAAATTCTAGTTGATTGCTTGATTAAAATGACCACTTGTTTAGAAAAACAGTGAACAATCTTCAAAAGAGGCATCTATGCTCTTCTCAGAAGTGCCACTGAACTCAGTGCTCTTGTTTTAAAAGAGAAGATAAATCATTAATGCTAAGTTAGTGTCACTGGCAGGAGGGGTTATAGGCTGACTGGATGTGTGGTGTTTTGTAACTTTTTATAGGGCTTGTGTATATGGATATACTTTAAAAAAAAAAAAATCATAAATAGTGCTTCCTAAAAGAAGCTTGTTACAGTACTAGGGTACAATTGCAATTCTCTACCATTCTTTGCTTGTATTTCACATATGCCTATATTCTTGTGTCAGTTTTTGAATGGGTTATTAGTTTCCACTGTGAATTACTTTGAAAATGAGAGTTCAAACTTATTCTGCCATTACTAAGAGAAATCACCTGTTCATTTTGGTAGGAATATCATTTAAAGAAAAAACACAATATTTAATTGGTTTATTTAATATTTTTTTTAATTAATTGTTGGACTTTTTTGTGTTAATTCTAGAAACTTTATGAAAAACATGCCCTTAGAATAGTTTGACATATCTTTGATTAGTCAGTATGCATACTTAAGTGAAATAATTTACTGCTCTGTGGCTGACCGTGTGTAATCAGTTTTTGCATTACAGGAGAAATGCAAGCATTAGTATTTGACTTGCAATCTACATATATTTTACAGTAGGTTCTCCACAAGCCCAGTCTTCATTTCTTGGGCAACAGCATGAGAAAAGTTCTACACCACACATGCTAAAGGAATGTTGCAATCTTAATGAAAACAATTCCTAGGCTTCTGCCCGAATTACTTGATTTTGTTGACTTGCCACACGAGAATCTTGAATTCATGTTCAGTGACATCAGCAGGAAACTAAAGTCTTAAGATAGTTCATGTATGGCCTCACTGCATTAAGAAGGATGTGTCATTGTTTAAAGCATTATTGGTAGTACTAAGAACCTGTTTAATTTCATAGCACCAAAACCAGTACTTCGCCTCTTGTCTTAAAAAGTTCTAGTTAGCATAGATACAAAGAAAATTTTCCATTTTACTTGGTGTTACAAAGTGACTATAACTCAGATACATCTTTATATAGTTGTTGGTTTGGAGATGGGAGCTTTTAAGCTTCAGTGTATGAGTCAGGGGACCCTTTTTCATGTTTGTAATTTATTTGATTTTTCTTTGAAGCATAACACACTGTATATGTTAAATGCCTATGATTTTTAAATTAATGAAATAGTTACAGCTGGAATTGCCATTCTTAAAATATTAATAACAGAATGGAATAAATTCCTTTCTGGAGCACAGAATTTAAGGAAAGCTGTTTGTAACAAGGAACTATCATTTCCTGGAGTATCACTTTGCGGTAATGCCCAACCAGTGGTTTCCTACTAGCGTTGAATGGAGACAGATGCAAGTATATAATTCTGTAGATCCTTTTCAATCATACTCTATTTAGCTTTAAAAATGTTTTTTGTCCTTTGGATGGTTGTTTCACCAGTGGTGTACTTCCATTAAAGGATGCTTGCTCAATTTGAAAAGAAACTCGAAAGATGCAACTCCTAACTACTCTTGGGACATGTCTTTTCAGAGATCTCATCATGTTATCTATTTCTTAGTTCTCATGCAGCTAGAACACAAATTCACCACCCAGTAGTAGTGAAAAAAAAAAAAAAGCCCCGTGGGAGCAATCCAGTGGAATTTTTTCACTACCACTAAGGGGTTGGAAATTATTATTAATATTTCCAAATATGTACCTTGCTGTAGTCCTTTTTAACTTCCATTTATTTTATGTTCATAGTATTACTCCTATTAGACTTGCTTTCTTATAGTATGTAAGGAATATCTTTTTGCTCAGTACTTATGATCCAAACACATAACTACTTTATTTGATTCACTATTTCTAGCCTTTAAATTTCCCAGTTATAGTTAGGTACTCTTGTATTTCTTTAGTAATTTCTTGTTCCTGAACTTGCTCCTCTTTGTCTGTTTTAATGAGCATCCAGTTCTAGTTTGCAATCCAGAGGGCTGTCAACTCTTGAAAAAGATGTTTTTCACAAGAGGGGAGGTATTTTACAAATTCTAATAAAAAATAAAATAAATTATCCACTTGTTTTCTTCTGTGGATAGTGCAGAGTCAGGTAGGATAAGTGTAACAGACTCATCCATAGCTGAACTCAAAATGATTCAGGAATTCAGGTACTTTAAGGTCCATCACATTTATTTATATGTGATCTATAAAATTAGACTATATGCATCTCTTGTGGGGGACAATACATGGAAAAAATGGAAACATTAGAAGGAATTTCTTGCACCCTCCATTTTCAAAACTGGAAAAAAAAATCCTCCTGTCCAATTAGGACAGCACTAATTCACTCTTCTTGTGTGTGTCATCTTCCCGCTCCTCCCCCCATTAGTTTCAGTTAATTTTGTCTATTCTGAATAGCTTCATGCCTTTTTCATTTTCATTTCCCATCTGGCAGCTGCAAGGATATAATTTACTGATTGTAAACCACTTGCACGCCTGCTGAATTGTCTTCTTTAGAGCATTAATTCCTTATATCTACAGCAGATGTTTTATTTTGCTTTCCTTCATCAGATTTGGGCAAACTCTAATTAGACTGAGGAGGTCTGGGCGGAGGCGGGTTTGAGAGGTGAAAATAGGGTGACGATACCTTATTTAAGAGATAGCTTGAGTAAACCAGTTCTCTGATATCTCATTATTTGTTCCCTTTCTGAGCAGTTCTGCGCTCGGAGACAGTCACCCTGTGGGATTGGTGACCCACAGGCTGTTCGCGTTCCTCTGATGACTCAGCAGGTGACGCTGCTCCTCTGGGTTTTGTGGACTTTTCGTACTCGGTCTCCCCCCTTCCTGCGTTTGAGGAGAGCAGGTGGAAATCCACACCCGTGGGTAGGAGCTGTGCAGGAGCCGGGCACGCTGCAGGCAGCCGGAGCCGGGAGGCCCCGCGGCTTGTGTGCCGTTCCGCTTTTGAACCGAGAGTCCCCTCTTATGCGCCCCTCCCCCACCCACCCGCCGGCCGGGTTCCCGCCCCTCTTCCAACCCCCCCCTCCCTCGGGGCCGTTTCCTGCCCGGGAGGAAACTCCCGCAGCCGCCTCCCACGGTGTGCGCGGTTTCGTTCTAAGCTGCGGGAATGGAGCGGCGGGGGGACAGCGGCGGAGCCGGGCTGGCGGCCCGACGGCGCAGGGGAGAGCAGCCGGCGGCACCGCCGCCCTGCGTCCGCCTGGCGGCTGCGCTGCCGCCGCGCCGGGAGACGAACCGAAACCGACGGGGGGCAGGGGCCGGGGCCCCCCCGGCAGCGGCGGAGGGGAGGCGGCGCGCAGGCGCCGGGGGTTTCCGGCTGGCCCCGCCCACAGCGCGTGGTGCGGCCGCCCCCAGGTGCGAACAAAGGACGCCCCGCGTCGCCGCCCGCGGGGCGGGGCTAGCGCCTGCCCGTCCGCCTCCTCCGCGGGGCTGGGCCGGCCCGGGAGTGACGTCACCGCCCCCCGGAGGCGGCGGAGTGCACGCGGTCCCGCAGCACCCCAGAGGCGCGGAGCATGGAGGGGGGTGGCGGTCGCGGGCCGCGGGAGCAAGCGACGGCGACGCCGCGGACGCGGGGCGGGCGAGGGGCGCGCGGGGGACTGGCCCCGTGATGGGCGGAGGAGGCCGGGCCGACGTTCCCGGAAGCCATCGTGCGGGAGGGCGGTGTAGGCCCGGGCCGGGCGGCAGCAGCGGGATCCCCGGACGGCTCGACGGGAGGCAGCGCGGAAGCCTTGACGGTGACTGGCGGGCGCGCGGAGGAGGCGGGGGCGCGGCCCCAGCTACCGGCGTGGGGACGGCAGGTACAGGGGTGGAGGAGGGCGGTGGGCCCGCGCGGGGCGGGGCCACGCCAGCACCGCCCGGTGCCCCCGACTCGCCAGCGTTAACCGCGGTCAGCCGAGGGGGGGAAGGCGGCGATGGTCCGGGAGGAGGGCGGCGGGCGCTCCGGGGCGGCTTCGCGGTGGACCCGTCTCTGTTGGGCCGCCAGTCGTAAACGTAGAGAGGGAAGGAGACGGCGAGGCCTGGGCGTGAGGTCGCCGCTGGGGAGCCCGATGGGCCCCGTGTGGCCCAGGTGGGGCTGTCTGCGAGGTGGGCAAGAGCTCGGCGAGGTTAATTCGGGGGGCGTAAGCGTTTGATCCTGTTGAAATTGCTTTATCTGCTCCGGCAAAAGGTAGAACTGGAACCTAAAACTCAGCTGACCTTCCAGAATGAATTGCTGTGTGCTGTCCTTAAGAAGATGAGCAGGTTCAGTTGCCTTCGTGCAGGTATATCTGAAGCACCAGAGTTCCGATTGCCCTCCTGATCTTATAGCAAACTGAAGTTTCTGGGCGCCTCTAATCCTCTCGAGTTAGTTGAGAAAGAACAACTATCAAGGAGACATTGATGTTAGTAAGCATATGTTTTAGGACATTCTGTTAGTGTTTTTCAGTATCTATGAGTTAATTCCTATTCCTGTGTAACGTGAAGAGCATTTTTTTTTATGCATGTAAATGAGAAAGATCTTTTTGTTTCATCCAGAAGTGTATTTTAAAACTGATTATGTTTTGAGATGTGTTCTGGAGAGATCCGTTTCAAGTTACAATTGTTTATAGCAAGTAATTTAATTATTACTTACACAGTTGAATGGTAAGTAACGTTAATATTCATGATTGTACAGCATTTGCATTTAAAAACTGATTTTGAGGGTGCTATTTGGAGCAAATGCTTATGTTCCGATAAGATCTTCAAAAGTATGGTGATGCAACTGGAATTGTAAGATGGACACAATTACTAATAGCCCGCCTTATTCAGGTTTCTTATTACTTGATTAGGTGTTGCTGCTGATGTGCTTGTTCTCAAATGCCATTCACTGAGGCAGTTAGTTTCTTTTCAGTTGCCAAGTTTGTGGTCTTTATCCACATCCTGTAGATCTTGCTATTTGCTAGCCCAACAGACTCCTCAACTGCTTCACAGGACTACAAGAACAAAAAATACAAACCCCTTGGTGAAGGTATTGTAGCTGTGGAATTAGAGACCCACTGCTCTGAGAAAGAGGGGAAAGGCCCTCCATTTGGATACTTATGTATGTAGTAAAGAGAAAGGAGGGTGCAGTCCTTAAGACGATTAAGTATGAGACAGGAGAGCCTATAGGTGGCGTGGCAGATTTACTGGCTAGTGAAAGTTGGTAATTTCGATCGTCCTTAATCACCAAATTTCTAGGGAAAGCAACCCTATGTATGCATAGAATAACAATGTGAAGAGGGCTTCCAGGGAGTTGTTACCAGGAGATGGTACATGTTAAGACTGGTAATTGTGAGAAGTGGTCTATAAATAATAGAGGGTTATAAATTAGGGATTTCAGGATTCTCCCCATTAAACTTATTTTGGCATCTCCCTGACTTACAAAACAGGTTAAATTTTGTTTTATTTCCACCTCGATCACATTGATTTTTTTAATAAAGATATAGTAAATACTAAATTGAAGTTGCAAGTTGATCAGTCCTTGCTTTGCACCTGTAGTGGTGTGAAAGTCACAGTACATACAGAATTGTCTCCTTTTTCTGAGAGGTACAGCTCTGGCTCTGAAGCTAGCATCAGTGGCATCAGTGCTATTGTGATTTGTGAAGCTTGTGCATCAGCTTATCTACATACTTTTTTTCAATATGGTTCATTGACATAACTGGAGGTAATTAATAGAATTTAAAGTTGAAGTCAAGTTACTTTTTCAGCTCTTTACTGGGAAAATATTTAAGAATTAAATGGTTTCTGTTATGTTCTTATTAAGGCATAAAAATTGGTGCAACTAGGAAGAAAAGTTACTTCTTCAGGGCTACTATCGAATTGAAATATAATTTGTAGTCTTTCTATATTTCAAAGCTGTTGTACATATTTTTCCGTGGAAACCACATGGGCTAAATTGCTAGTGAATCTAATGAGCATAGGTACAGAGCAAGTCTTAGGCTTCTGAAGGTTTTCTCACTTAATCTTTGTAGCTCCACCACCCCCACCCCAGAGGGATTTGAAAGTTAGGAATAAGGCTGCAGGTAGGATGTGATTATTTCCTCCCCCCCATTTTTAGTCAGAGTCGCTTTGATTGTGGAGGACTCATTCTTGAAACTTCTGAAAGGGTGCAGGTTTGACTTGATCAGTTCATGCGGAAATACAGCTTGTAGTTTCCTTTTCTATGTAAACATCTATGTCAAGTTAAATAATCTAATATGACCTATTTAAATTCTGTTGTGGGCAAAGCTTATCTAGGTCTCTGATTTAACAGGATGATTTTCATTATTTTTACTCTTCATCCTCTTCTACAAACTCTTGAAAGATCAAGGAAACTTCCTTTGCTTTTTGGTGCCCTCTACTGATTTCTGTTTGTCAGAACATCAAATTTTTTGTTTTGTTTTCAACAGCAGTAAAATGCTAACAGCAGCAGCTCTTTAAAACACCAGGAAGGGAAAATACAGACAGGAAGCTCTTTTGCAACTTAAGAATTTTGCTGTGTGCTCTCCAACCAGTTTGGATTGTGGTGGAACTATTCCTCACTGGTAGAAAAATAGTTAAGGAGCATAAATCTGCCTCAGTGTCTTCTGTGGACATTCCAGCTGTAAAATAACTGGTGCCTTTGCTCTTCCACTCTCAGAAAAATAGAGACTCTCTTTAATGTCCACAGTCCCTGGCTTTCAGTGAGCACCTTTCAGATTTGCTCTCCTAGAACTTTTTACCTCCTGGTTCACTTGCAATAACATTGCTTTTTCTATTTCCCATTGCAACCTCAGATACTATAAAAAAGTGTAGTGCTTCCTGTGAGTACAACTATATATGCTGTATTTTGCTGGGTTTCTGTTTAAGTAGCCCTTTCATCTTGTCAGTCTTGCAGTTTTGTTCCTATCCCTAAATTCTGTGAAGACCTGTCCTAGGCGAACTCAGCAATTGCACGAACTCAATCCTGTCCTCTCTCCAGAGCCTCTTATCTTAGCCTTGTGGTCTGTCTTTGCCAGCTGACAGAGCTAGCCAAATTTTTCTTTCAAGTTGCAGTAAGAGTAAATTACTGTCTGAGTAGGGATGATAGCATTCATGGCACAGCTTACAGTGCTGCTGACCAGATGCTCTGTTTGACAGTCTTCCAAAAAGCTTTTGGGGATGGCCTTCTCTCTAAACAAAAATTAGGAATTTTTCTTCCTTATTCAGGTATTTCTTTAGAAGTTCTGTGTTGGGATTGTTCTTTAAAAAAGCTGTGATGTGTTGAGTATTTTTGATGAGCTGCATTTTCAAAATTTGATTCTTAGAAATCAATCTCTTGCAAAGACATTTAAAACTATTCTGTGGGTAAGTACTGAGGGATGTCATTTTTGTTTTGGTGTCCTCTGTACGTGAGTATTGGGGAAACATTGGAATGGGATATAAAACAAGAGGGGGAAATGAAGAGATTGGAGACATACAAGTAGGATCAGGTATTCATTCTAAGTAAAGTCGTGGAAGGAACTTGTGAAGACAAATAGCAAAGTGCCGAGTGGATGAATATGGATTTGAGAAGAATATCCAGATGTGAATACAAGTAGCCTGGCAAGACCAATATGCATTTGGTCACTTTGTATGTGAATTTCTTCTGAGCATGGGTTAGAGGTTACACGTGAAGCTTTCTTCCTTTTTATTCTCAGTTTTCTTATTGTATCAGAGAACAGTCAGAGCACTGTTCCTCAGATTCAAATAAAGAGGCCTGATATAGTATTTGTGTTCTCTGGCTCTGCTTTCAATATGTGGATGTTTACCTACATCTGTAGTTGAAATGTGACTTAACAGTTCATAGCTGTGATAGTGACTTTGTTCAATGCAGGGCAGAGCTTGAGGTTGTCTAAAAAAAGTACACCTCACTAAATTTCTTGCATGCTTTAAATTCTTGTGTCTTTTTTCCCCTTAGTAAGAGTGTGGGATGAGGTTTGAGAAGTCACCAAACCATGCTTGTTTGAATGCATGTGGGGAAGTGAGGCTTTTAATTCTTCACATATCATCTGATAACGTATCATGTGATTGTTTGTTTGTTTGTTTGTTTGTTTTTTAATCAAAACTTACTCTGTGTAAGAATAACCATATTTTCTAAAGTAAATTAAAAGATCTACACAAGTATAAGCTGTTTCTTGAAGCTGAGGACCTGCAGTGTTTTCTTATGTTCCTCTTTTAGGTTAACTTAGCTTAAAATATAAATTCTTTCATGTTTTTGCGGTTTCCCATAATTTGCCCTTTAAATTTAGAGGACTGAGTTCTCCACCGTTGCATCCCTTTGTAAGGATTATACACCCGTCTAGATGACCTCTGCTAGATGACAGCCAATATGTGTATTTTGTAGGGGCCGAGGACCCAGCCACTGTTGCAGCAGTTAATATGTTCACAGGGCCTGTGGTGAGTCTGACACATACAAAAAATGGAAGTTCTACAAGTTACTGAGGGCAAAAAGTGTGTTCGAATCCCAATTAATGGAGACCAACTCTTCTTTTTTTTTTCCAAAGCTTTTTAAAACAATTCTATTAACTTATACAAGCTGTTAATAATAATGAAGCGGGCTGTGTAGGTTTAAAACATCGTCTAAATATGGTAAGTTCTTAAAGAAATCATGGAATCATTTAGGTTGGAAAAGACCTTTAAGATTATCAGGTCCAGCCATTAACCTAACACTGCCGAGTCTACCACTAAACCACATCCTTAAGCACCACATCTACACATCTTTTAAATACTCTCAACGATGGTGACTCAACCACTTCCTGGGCAGCCTGTTCCAGTGTTTGACAACCCTTTTGGTGAAGAAATTTTTCCTAATAGTCAATCTAAA